TTTTTTGTGATTAGTTCGCAGCTATGAAATTTGGTGATCAAAACTCAACTTTTTCGTGATCAAAAAAAAAAATACCAACCGGTTCCATGGTGCTGCTCATTGAGTAGCTCGTCTATGTAATAAAATGATTTATATCACTACTATACTTATTAGTACTATAACAGTCTTATATAAAAAATGAATATCAAAACTAATTTTCGCAAGTTCATATCAACTGAACTTATTCTTTTTTTTCTACCTAATAGAAAATTTTGTATATAAAATAATACCGTTTTGTTAATTTGAATATATATTTTAGAGTAATAAAGTATACAACATGCAATTTTAAGTATAGTCATGCAAATATATCTCTATACATACCTATAACAATAACATTAAAAATCATTTGTTGTGTACGAATTTTATGTTTAACATTGGCAATATATTGACCAGCATGATCAGATTGAGCATCATTCAATATTAAACGATGTGTACCATCAGGTTGTGATTCAAGTACGAGATTCTCATTTGATTTAATTTCTTTACCATTTTTTGTCCATTTTACTTCAGGCATTGGTTTACCTGATGCTTGACATTCAAGTGTACATGAACCACCTTGATTTACACGAACTTCAATAGGTTCCGAAGATATATCCGGTACATCTATAAAGAAATATTCTCTCGTAGTAACACTTTCGTTTCTTAGCTGATTAAGTTTATTCAATAACTTACCCATAACAGTCACTTGACTAACTAATTCTGTTTTACCCATTTGATTTTCAATAACCGCCTAAAAATAAAATTTCTAGATTAAATAATTCAATAAATAATTTATTTCGTTTACTTTATATTGTCCATCATCGGTTAATTGAGCATCTAATATTTTCAAAGTATGTGTTGATCCATCATCAATAATAATAATACGATCAGGTTGTATTTCAATTGGCTTATCATTATGAAACCATGTACATGTTGGTAATGGACTACCATCAGCAGTAACAGTAATTGTTGCTTCTTGTCCACGTGATATTTCAAAATCTTGCATTTTTTGTTGAGCAGTTGGTGGTGCTAAAATGAAATTTTGTAAAAAAGAACGTTTTTTTATTTTATTCTTACCAAGAACATCAATATTTATTTCTGATGTATGTGTACCAAATTGATTTTCAATTTTACATTCATATTTTCCTGAATGTTTCACTGTTGCACTAGGTATAATGAATGTTGCTTGACCAGTTGTTTGATCAATTTTAATATCAAAACCATCTTTATTTGTTAGAACTTTTCCATCACGTAACCATGTTATTTTTGGTGTTGGATGTCCTTTAGCTGTACATTCAACTGTTAATTTTTCACCTGTTTTAACTTGAAGAAATTTGGGTGGTTCTTGCATAAATAATGGTACTTGTTGTCCAGTTACTTTAGCTTTCTTTGTTTTAATTGTACCAGCTGAACTTGTTATAACAGCTTGATATTCACCAACGTAACGTTCACTAAATTGACGAAAAACAAGACGATAAAGACCATCATCAGTAACAATGATTTCATAATCTGTTGAATCTCCTGATAATTCTTGTCCATTAAGTAACCATGTTACTTGTGGACGTGGTTTACCTTGTGCACGAATTTCTAATGAAAATTCTTCACCTATTTTAGCTGAATTTGCCGTTGGTGAATCATTTAAATCAGATAAAATTGTTGGTTTTTGTTCTTTAATATTAACTGTTGTTTTTATATCTAAATTTCCACCTTTATTTTCAATATGCATTGAATAAATACCTTTATCTTCTGAACGACAATCATCAATAACTAATTTATATGTATTATTTTCTTCTGTTACAACATGTATACGTTCATCGAAATTAATTGGTTGTGAATCTTTAAACCAAGTTATAACATTATTTTCTCCACTAACACGTATTGGTATTTCTCCTTGTTCACCAAAATTAAATGTTAATGTTGATTCTAATTTGGAATCTAATTTAGGTTTCAAATGTACATTCAATGTACTTGTTGCTTCGATTTTTTCAATACCATTATCAATAATGGCAGTATATTTACCAACATCAGTATTATCTAATTTCGTAATAGTTAATGTTGTTATATCTGAATTTTGTTTTGATATTTCAATTTTATGTTTCGGTGAACTTTTAAGTGGTTGATCATTACATAACCATGTTATTTTAGGTTGTGGAATACCTGATGCTTCAATAGTTAATGTTATTTGTTCACC